ACCCACGATCCTGCTCACTGGACTCGAAACCAATGCCTTCAGTCTCGCGCGCGAACGCCTAACCTACTGGACCACTGAGCCGGCATCCAATGGTGTTAGTGTCTAACATCAACCAATCCTTCGGTACTTTTTACTTCAATCTTAATATAGATGTTCATTAGTCTCTTGAATGATGTTAGCTATAGACTCTTTTGATGGATACGTTAGTTCATATTAATTAGATATTGTTAATCCGTAGATCAGTGTTGCTTGTCTTTGAATTTGAACACATCTTCCGAAGTTTAATATGCAGTAGAAACATCCGCATTCACAATTAGGTTCTTTCAAATAACCAGTGTCAAACATTATTCTTAATTCTTAAATAATAATTTATCTAAACAATAAAATATGCGATTAATTGAATTCGATACAATCTCACAATATGAATATACTTTTACCCGTTTATAGTCGTTATTGATTTATGGTTAAATTGTTTACCGAAAAAAACACCCGTGCAGAATCATTTTGTCGATTGTGCCAAATAGCGTGCAAGAAAATTTCATTTTTTCAAATTGTGAAAAACTACTTTGATTTTTGTAGCTAAACCTAATATTAAATACTCTTGACTACAACTTTCGTTTGTTTGCCAAAGAAACGTTTGTATTTTTCAATCATTACAAGACAAGTTGATAAGAAGAAGAATATTTTGCAAATCAATCGACATGACAAAAGACTAAAGTACTCTCAGTATGTAATAAACACGACTGAAATACAGAGTCTACGATTGACTGATCACTCATTGAATAGCAATCAATGTGATGCTTGCCTATCAGTTTACTGTACTGGTCAAATTCTATCGATCAAGTTGCAACGTGGCAACTAGACTATGTTACTTGACATCTTGTTCACTACATCTTCATAAGTGATGGTGAAATGTAGTAGGCAAGATTAGACAAACATGATGTTAACTACTATTCAATAATCGATCAGTGTTTATAACACAGTCCTACAGAAGATCATTCTTGGATCTAATACCCCAATGATAATGGTGAGACTGGTTTATCAGGGTTCGGATTTATCAAGGAGCATCGGTTCCCTTCAAACTGCAGCTATGGCATGCCGATGAGTGGCATTGAGCGAGAAACCTCGGTTTATGCATCCCAATCGACTATCTTCAATCATCTAACGACTTCTACATCTAGAAGTGTATTTAGCTCCCAATACAAAGAACAAACTGACATTCGTCTAGTAACATAATTGACAAGTAAATCATAGTTGGTAGGTTTTATTCAATCACTGACGAATTTCGATTGTTGTATCGTTGAGGTTCTAGTGAAAAGTCTTAACTAGTGAACCTCAGACATTTAGAGACCGAAACAGTCCTGACTGACGGCACTGGATGATTTTCACTACATATATGAGCTCAAAAAGTACTACTCAATACCGACCAATTGGTTTTTACTGCTGGGATTTCGTCACAAGACGTTGAAGATCCTGGATTCTAGCCCTGGAAGGTTGTGGGCGAATTTCAATGCTAGCCCCACTTAATTCATTATAGAGGAATGTTAAGTCCAAAAAATTTAAATTACCTGTATCTATTGATCTAGTTTTCTCAAGTCCTTATTAAACTTTTGAAAATATGGGAGTCCATGTTTTCTATTAGTTCTGTTACAAATATGTAGTGACGATATTCTGAACACGGCGGTATCAGACAATAGTGATATCCAGATACCTTGAAAGTGATTCTTAAAGACAAAACGTGAAGAAGGAAATGCTGTATATTTAAACGTAGGTGTAGACGGAACAACTTGTGACCTAAAGTTGTTTGTTTAGGAGGGAACAATGCTTGGTCAAGCACCTTCAAATAGCAGTCTCCATCTAAACTAACAAGGTGAGTATAAATGCAGAATGCCTTCAAGACTATTGAATTTGGAGAGTTATTTACCATTACAATAAAAATAGAGCCCTAGATTTACTATCAGTGGTCTTGACAAAAACAAAACACTGTTTATCTAAATACTTACATACGCATGTTACCTATCGTGGTGTAGCATAGGCCGACGTTACTTGTTCGTTACTGGGGTTTCATGCAGTAACAGGTTAATTAAAAGTCCTTTATTAAAACATCCAAGTAGTGATGAAATATAATTGAGATCTGGACTAGTGTTATTCTAGGTCATAACTAAAAGTATTGTCACAGAGCTATTCTGAAAATGACTGGGATCCAATGGAACAACAAGACCTAGACTATATGCTAATCAACGGAATCTCAACAGTATAAAGACTAAACAAACATAACATTAGTTATTACACATTGATCGATCAATGTAAACGTCTCAGTCCTTCATGTGATCGTAATTCTAGTACTATTATATACTTAGACACAAACGTTGATATAAAGGGACACAGATTTTTATACGCGATACATAAATCACTAAATTTGTAAGTGGGCTGGGATTCCGTCCGGGTGTTCAAACAGAAACAGGTGGTTTTCCAAGAGATCCACTTCTGAGACCATTAACCTACAGGTATAATCTACAAGACAATGTAGCAACGTTAAGAGATGCAATCACGTAGTAGCCGTTGACCGAGAATAGGTTATACGTAGTTTCTTCCCTCAGGATCCTGGAGCCTATGTGAACCATTAGTTTAGAATCACGGTTTCCTAAATCTCTCAAGCGAATCCACCCTACCCACCAACACAGTTGAAGTGACGAACATTTGATTTTCATCCTTTCAAATTCATAAGCAACACACCATCCATGAGGAGGAGGTGAGTAGGGTGTCCCTGAGTGTGGGTAAATGCATGGCCATATGAGGGCATTTAGAGAGAGAGCTCTTCTCACCCTCCTTCTTAGCCGTATTAAGGCATTTTTGGACTAGTAACTTAGTGATGACGTTACTGGCAGTCAATCAGGATGATTAGGTTTCCAATCTTATGAGATCAATTAGTTCATATTAAAATAAACCTTGTTAAAGAATCTCATCTAACATGAAATGCTAGTCTGCACTGAGTTTCTGACACACTGACCTCATTCACTTAGTATTAAAATATACGTTATTTATAGAGTTATAATTAATACTGAAATTTCTGTAGACTCAATTAAATACCCAAAACTGTTCGTGAGTTTAACCTGTTAAATTGAGAAGACAATTTGAATATGGTTGAGATCATGAGTCAGTTGAAGCTAGACCACCATGGAAAACCTGGAAGCACTGGACGACCGTTTCGTCCTATTGTGGGACTCCTCAGCAGTACGCGTCCGCGACCTCGTCCCCTGCGAGATTCGAACCCAGGACCTACTGGTTTCGCGCGCGAGCGCTTACCCACCAGACCACTGAGCTGATCGACATCCAACGGTGTTAATGTCTTACTTCAACTAATCTATGAAATTGAGCGATACATCCACCATTGTCACCAGTGAGTTCCTATCTCACAACAGACCTGGTTGAAGTCCACCGGTCAGTTGTTGACTAACTAGAAGTACTCGACCAACTTTTGTTTGACCTTCAGTGTTAATAATTGGTTTTTCATCATCTTATAATGAGATTTTATTCACCATGGAAAAGTAATAATTTCGAATTATCTTCTATGCTACTTATATCAATTTTTACATTCCATTTAATGGTTCTTTTTTTCTAAAAAATAAATAAAAAACCTGTGCTTCAAAAGTAAAAAGGAACACTTATGGTTTCATATCACATACACATACAGAAAAGTTACAGTACCTAAACAAATTAGTTTACAATTTGTGTTTAAAATGTCAAATATCAGTATGTACTTTTGTCTACCATTAGTACTACAATACACAATTATAGATACACTAGCATACACATACACACACACACAAGGAAACAAACTTTTGATTGGATTAACATCATTACTATAAATGGTCAATAGCTTCTCATACTTGTATTGTAGTTAAGTGAATTAAATTAACTTCTATTGGTTCATATATACTTTTCATAAATACTAATACAACTGCTCTTTGTTTCGGCCATTAAAAGCATCATCAGTAGTCAAAATGAGATTATCATTAATGACAATAACAATAACTCTATGCAATACACATTCCCTTTACTAATAAATGACACTTAGCAACAATGATAGAAGTCTATTGAATTTTAAATTTTTTTTCCCCTAATCAATTTTTACGATAATAAACAACATCAACTTTCAATTATTAATTTTATTACTATGTACAATGTTCTTTTATTTTTCTTCAATGTTACTGATATTATAATGTTGATGATTTCATGTGACTAATTGAATGAAGTGTCACATGGAAATCTATTGACTTTTGCACTACATCGAATACATATCTCTCTCTATATATATAATACATATAAATAAGTAATAAGTTAATTGATTTACTGGAATATAGAAACACAAACACAAATGATGTGAATAAACACATCATTTTAAAAACCCAGATAGGTTGGATTTCATTTTGTGTATGTGGTGTGTGTGTGTGTGTGAGTGTGTTGTTATTGTTGTTATGTGTAGTGTGTGTACTTGCACTTTGCACTTATGAGTAAAGTTTAATCAAACTTTATTTCTAAAGAAAAAAAAGTAATAACCGACTAGATTCAGAGGGAGAGAGAGAGAAACAGAAAGAGAGCAAGACCAAGTTCGCTAAGAGACCATTTTTATTTGTAATTTCGTTGTTGGCTGAGTTGGTTCCAATATACATAACACATGTGTGCAAAACACGTATAAATCTACAACATACACATATATATACACCTACAGATTGGACGCATTCGTCGAATTTGTCTCTATTAATCTATCACACAGTGTTATATACTTATCTAACACACACACACACACTGGAACTAACATGTAAGTGTGCTTGCACTTACTTACATGACACAAGAAATCACAATATTATTATCATTAATAATACTCTTATTATAACCATTATTGTTATCATCACCATTACTCTGACATAGATTGGTCATATTCACAATAATTACCATTGGAGGAAATCAGGTCTACAAATTTTTACTGTTTTTTTTTCAAAAACAAAAACGAAATGAACAAAATAGTTAAGAACTAATTGTTAAGGAAATTATTTGTAAACAGGAATGGAATCTAGCGAGGTCAACTGTTCAGAGAATTCGGCTGTTCAAGAAACCACAACAACTATTACGATTACATCTACTAGCACTGTAAATAATATAACTACCGATAAGACTACTGAAGATCATTATGATTATGATGACAATCAAACTGAAGTATTAACAAAGACAATTCATTCACATATGTCTAATAGTAATGATTTACAATCAAGTATTAATTCTCATGAAACCACTGCCTCAGAATCAAAGGTAGTTGATCATGAAACAGAAAATCCACAGAATCATAACAAAACAAATGTAATAACTACTGGAATAATGATAATAAGAAATGAAACAATAAATCCTCATATTGATACATTCAATAATGAAGTGATTCCAATGAACACTGATGTTTCCATAAATGAGATTGAAACGAAACAAGACAAAACTCATACGGAGATAAGTCAACAACTACAAGAAAACAATTTGGAAAATAATCAAGATATTAAAACAGAAGTTGAATTATCTTTAATAAAAAATTCACCGGATATATCAACCCATAAATCATCGATTAGTAATCATTCATCAATAAATCAATCAACTGAACATTATATTACAACACAAGAGGAATCACTTATAAATAATGATAAAGATGATGAGAGAAATAGTCCAAAACATCCATATCGACCACCTCCACCAAAATTAAATCAAACTAAACATACATCAGTATCTCTTTCATATAGTGGAGGAGAAAATGATGATGTAATAAGTAAAAATGATAAGTTAAATGACAATTCACAGATAGATGATAGTAATAATAATTATGAAACTAATGTGAAGACATCAATAAAACAACAGCCGAATGAAAACGATGTCGACCAGCATAAACCTCAATATAAACGTCCAACAATCAAATCAAATATTAAACATGTATTTACTAATCTGAGAAAAAGTTTTAAACGTAAAGATAAACCATCAATCAAACGTGTAGTTAATGATCATGATAATGTTGAGAACAATCATACATACACTACTCAACAACCAATGACAACACATGCATATAATAATAATAACGATTATATTGATCATAGAAATAAACAGTCAAATTTTCCTTCAAGTTCATCTTCTCATCAGGAATATCATCATCAGTATTATAGAAATTCCAATGAAATACAAGAAAATCAATCACAATTATCCAATGCACAATCCTTGAATATCGTAAGTTTGAAATATTTGTATGTAGAGATAGAGAAAGAAAGACTAGCGTTTACATGATATATATATAAACTTGTATTATTCAAGTTATGAGGTGAGACCATTTAAGGGGGAATTTTTCCACTTTTCAGCTTGAAAATACATTTACTGTAGTTCGTATTTATAACTACATGATGTACTGAATTCGTGGTAGGTCTGACAAATTCAGACAATGGAAGTGCTGTTCAATGGGTATTTTTCAATTATTTTATTTTCGTTCATAGTATAACTTAATGCTTCGTTTTTTTGAAAAGAATTGTCAAACTTCCAACTTTCCTTCTTTCATACGATATAGTCTCCCGTCTTAGAATTTCAACGTGTTCATCTTAATCATCGATTATTCAATGAATAGTGATCAATTTCATGTTTATTTAATGCTTTAGTGATAACTGAATGGTGTCGATCAAATCGCAATGTGCACACTAGGCTAAACGAAATGACACCATATCGAGTTATTAGATGATTGAAGAGAATCGGTGATAAACCATGGGCCTAGGTATCGTTCGTGGTGGAGCTCTTTCGTGTGGAGGACCTGAAATCTTAATGAAATGATGTTCTCTGTCGAATTTATGCCTGTGTTTGCAGGCTTCATGGTCTTACATACTGACACTGATCTTATAGTTGCCTTACAAGTTTTAATGATCTGGTTTTTGAAAAGACGGAATCCGGATTCCATTTCAAATGTAATCAATGATCATTCTTGAAAATATTTTCACTTTTCATTTGAAGAAATGTTAATGAATCTTCCGTTTTGTTCAGTATCAAAGAAGAAAGTATCGTCAATATTGAGCAATTTTTCTCTCGTAAAACTTCTATGTAATAAGAATCAGTGATCTTAGAAACACTAACAACTATCTTTCTTCACTACTGAATTACATTGATTTAAATTTTACATTCCGTTAAATACTACTTTAATTAAATAATTATAAGCGTCTAGTTTGTCTGAAAATTATTGATTATATGAAATGTTTTATTTACATTGATTGATCACCTAGTGCAGATCAATTTTACATTGTCTTAATAACAATTTGGGCTAATCCATTTCTATAGATTGAAATTACAATGTAACTTGGTTGTGAACTACTTCGATTGATGAGTATATATTTCAGAACTTCTTTTATAGAATTTAATAGTTGAGATCATGAGTCAATTGAAGCTAGACCACCATAGAAAACCTGGAAGCACTAGACGACCGTTTCGTTCTACTGTAGGACTCCTTAGGAGGCTTTTCCTGAAGTTCAAGTGGGAAGCAGTGATCACGATCTCCACGATTTCGCCTCGCGAGATTCAAACCCATTACTTATCAGTCTCGGACGTGGGCACTGAACCATTTGACCACTGAGCCGGCATCCAACGGTTAAAATTACAACTATTGAATTACTATTATTAAAATTGCTATAATATCCACAAAACCTTTTCTGATATTAATCAACATATGCTCACTAGTGACTGGCTTCAAGAGGTAGTTCCTGCAGTTCTAGTGAGAAGCAGTGACCAGTGGAGTTCAACCAGGTTTGTTGTGAGATAGTAACTCACTGAAGACAATTGTAGATGTGTCGCTCAATTTCGTGGATTAGTTGGAGTTAGACATTAAAATCGTTGGGTGCCGGCTCAGTGGCCTTGTTGTTAAGTGCTCGTGCGTGAAACCAGTAGGTCCTGCGTCCGGATCTCGCAGGGGATGAGGTCGTGGATGCGCACTGCTAAGGACGAAACGGCCGTCCAGTGCAACAAGGTTTTCCATGGTTATCTAGCTTCAACTGACTCATGATCTTAACCATTGAGATTATTTATCTGTTAGTAAAAGTAAGGTAGATCTTTCGTTTTTTATTGATAGGGGGGGGTGCTTGGTTCTCCTTCTCTCTCTCTCTCTTAAAACGAACAATCCAAAGTACAGTTGAAGAGTGGAATAGATTTTTCACACTGAAATTAACGTTCATTTAATTACCAAATACGTTTTTTTAAAACATTTCATTGAGTTATATTTGATTCTATAGAATGATCTTTGAAGTTTGTAATAATTTGACGATACTTATTTAGATGAACAGCCAATTTAGTCAATTCAGTTAAAAGACAATTTTCATCAATATGTTTTGATAAACAGTAGTATTCAAGAGGTACTAAAATAGTCATTCTATCTTATTCTGGACTGAATTCAGATATCCACTACCTTATACTGATTAGAGCCAAAGTCTTGAGTGTTTCACAGCAAATAGGATATTTATAAAAAAACACTTAGTTGATACCAGATGATTAAGTATTCTTTACATTCTCAGTGGATTTTTTTAATGGGAGTTAACTGATAATGAAGTTAACTGTTTCTAATGTATGCATAGATCATAGCCAGTATTTTCGATGCACTTTGTATTTCACTATAGATTAGTATCAATATTACATATATAACATTGTGTACTCAGGTATTTTGTTTCGTTTCATTACATAGGAAAAACCTTCGTCCATCATCTTTGTCTTCTTCCCTTTAAGTCAATCTATATCAATCTTTGATGCCCTTTAATTAGAGCACAGAATATTGATTGAAGACAACTGAATTGAATATGTTATATCGCTGAGTGTCTGTAGTTAACCATTTGTAGACTATTCGACTTTAACTTATTGCAAGCAGTGATAGTTTGGGATCTGATCTTCAGACAACTCATCATTCATTATCAATCCCATACTAGATGGAGTCATTAATATAATTTCTTGTAGTCACCCAATGTTTATCTAACCTGAAGAAATCTATATTGTAGACTTTCTCGAACCACTAATCAACTAAAATATAAATCAGTCAGTTAGTCAGTAGCAACGTAGAACTTCGTACGCATGTAGATCAGTTCGAGTTACCATACCACATTAGAACAGAGATGCAGTTATCGATTCAAATCTCATAGCGGTAGAGGTCGTAAGAGTTTAAGCAGTAATCGGAAAGTTCAGGGTTTGAAGATGTTATTCAAGGAGTATAATACAGTGAAATAAATTTGGAAAGAGAAAAAAAAAGGACATAAGAATTCAGAAGATTAGGATTTGGAGGAACACAAAGTGTGGGATGCACCGGCGTCATTGCAGACGATTTTAAGTCATGTCATTCAAGGTCTCCAACCATCGGTTGCTATCATCTCGCGTCCCCAACCAGACAGACTACGCTGACCAACATAGCTCAGTCCACTAGTCAGTGACTTCGTGGATTTGTGCCATGTTTTGGTCTGGCCGCCCCTAGCTTTCTTCCAGCCTACTCCTACACCATGAAAAATCGCACGTCGTGGCAGTCAGTGGTTGGGCATATGTAACACGTGTCTCAGCCATCTCAACTGATGAATTTTCACTACCTCATCAATTGATTTGCCATCCTTACCTAGTACCCGTTTCCTAACAACTCCATTACTTACTCGGTGGTTCCACGATATACGAGAAATGCTTCGAAGACAATCATGATCGAATACTAGAAAACTACGAATATCCTCTGCTCTTACCAGCCATATTTCACTGCCATAAAGTAGGATGGAACGAACTGCTGCCCACTTAACTCGTCCTTTGGTTGGTAGACGGATATCTCGCCTAAACTAGAATGTAAATGCACAAGTCATTATATTAATACTTAAATAACTGAAATAGTGCAGTTTTTTTAGAATGATTGGTATGCAATTAAATCAGGGATTCAAGAAGCATTTTTCTACAACACTCGGAAACAGGTACATCTAGCTGACCAGTCTAACATTAAACGATTTGTTTTGCATTGACTGTATAAGTTGCTTAACAATGAATAGATTTATAAATATAGGGATATCACATAGAAGGTAATCTTTTCTCATTTACCCTAAAGAAAATTACAATCTAAAAAACATTATTCGATATATCAGAAGAACTGGAATTACAAACTGGATCGTCCATCAGCTTATCATTCTCGTTCTATCCAATATATCCGATAGTCTTTAAACTTCATTTCCCTAATTGATGCCATTGATATAACAAAATGAAAAGAGTTAGTTGACCATTAAATAAATGAGACAATTAATGAATCAGAAGGGGTTTTGTGGATATTATAGTAATTTTAGTAGTTGAGATCATGAGACAATTAAAGCTGGATCACCATGGAAAACCTGGAAGCACTGTAGGGCTGTTTCGTCCTATTGTGGGACTCCTCAGCAGTGCGCATCCACGATCCTGCCTCGCGAGATTCGAGCCCAGGTTTTATCGGTCTCATGATCGAACGCTTAAACTGTAGACCACTGAGCCGATCGGCATCCAACAGCGTTATTGTCGAGCTTCAACTAATTTATTACCTATATTAAAACTGATCATGTAAATATAAGAATAACATTGTAAATATAGTGTTACTGAGGTAATTTAATATGGTAAATGAATAAAGTCAATAGAAGAGGTCATAGAAATTGAAATATCAATATATTGAGTAAATAATTCATTTTAAGACAACTGACATTAAAACCACTTAGAAATTTTTTTACCTTGGTCTAATCGATAAATTTTGAGGGTATCACCATGATTCTAATCAATGGACAAATTATCTGCTTCTATATTCATCTTAAATTTATTATATAATTTACTTGAACAAAGAAACCTTGGCACAAAGGGGCATCAAATACAAATGCGTCACACAATAACAATGAGGCCAGTAGTAGTTATCATTGATTTGTGTGAGGGCTGTGATACTGCCCGGATGCCCAAATTAAAGTATATGGTTTGCTTAAGTGACCATACCCCAAGCCTTTGACCTGAAGGTCTAATCCACAAGGAATTGGAGCAACGTTGCGAGATACAGTCTCATGATAGTCGGTGACCAATAATTGGTTCATACACCATCTTTTCACTCAGGATTCTGGAGCTCATGTGCAACATTGGTTTGGAATCAGGTTTTTCAACACCCCCCCTAGGTGGACTATACGTATCCGCCAACCCGGTTAGAGCGCCGAACATTCGCTTTCTATCCTCACAATTTCGTAAAACACCCA